TTATTATTTTATTTAAAAAATACTAAATATAATTAAATTTTCTAGGCAAATTTGCCTGGAATACAGTTTAAGGGATACAACAATTTTTTCACTACTCAAACATAGATATCACTAATACTCAGCTACAAGAACTACAAAATATACTTACAAATCACCAATGTTTCTCACTTAATAACCAACAAAACATTATTAACCTATATATAACTATTCAAAAATTTATTCTAATATCTCTTATACAATTTATAAAAGAATATACAAACTCTAACCAAATTGCAACAAAGACAACTATCTAACTGCTTATACAAATTTTACAAAACATATACAACCAGATATGAATATTATACTGTACTAAACTTTCAGAATAGAAATAACAAAATAATATACCTCCCAGATCTAATTGAAGTTCAAGAACTTCTCATAGACCAATTAATCCTAACACAATATACTACAGAATATTATATATATACAGCTACTCTTGTGAATTATCTAACCAACAACATGATAATAACACATGTTTACTCTTAGAAAAGCAATTAGAAAAATATTATTATAGACTATTATATGGATTAAATATAGCACACCAACCAATAACATCTTATATTATTAAATCTAGATAAGTTTTAACTACTCTAGTAGATTTAGATTGCAGATAAATCGAATTTCTAATTTAGATAGTTTCTGGTAATCTGAGTCTCATTCTTGTAAAATTTTTGTAACTTGGCTTTGACCAAAAAAACCATAGTAGATTCTTAATACAAAATAAAAGCAAAACCTCACTTTAAAAAAAACAATCTTTTGGTAGTAAAGTAATTGTATTTAATAGTAATTTTTAATAAATATTTTTTATTATACTAAAAAGATAAAGAGAAGATATTATTAATTCTAGTTTGGATATTCTATAGAATAGGTAAGCAAACTCAGCAAACTTCGCAACTCTGCTATTAAAAATTAATGATTACTAATTATTAGCAAAACTTATTTCTTATACAATCAGACCTCTCTAAATGCACCCTCTATAAATGCAGCACCCTCTAAATGCATGATATTAGCCTTGGCCCATGGTGGGACTTATAGATAAATGCACATTCTTTATTCTGTAAATGCATGCTAATTGTCTAGCCTACTTATAAAAACTCACTCTATAAATGTATCTATATAATTATCAACCAATTAAATCCATTATTTTAGACAATTAAAGACATATTTATCATGTGATAATAGTCATATAGTGATTTTATTAGTGTTCTTTAATTGCAACCCTCCCTAAATGCACACTCTAAAGCTGGTCCTAACAATGTGCATTTAGTGAGATCTGACTGTATTGCCCATCTATTCTATAGAATATTCTCTAGTTTATTATAATCATATTTGTAGCATCATATTTAAATTATAAAATTATTAACTAATATATATTTATAACAAGCTAAAAATACTTTAGATTTTAGTAAAATTAAAAATTTTGTTAATTGGCTTTTACAAATTAAAAAAGATTGTATTTAATAAAATATAAATAAATATAATTATATTAAACTTTCTAATAATTTATATATATTATTATAAGATTTGCATAATTTAATTAATTTTATTTATTGAGATTTGAGCTCTGTAGCTTATTAGTTAAGCTCTTAAATCTCCACAGACAAGGTTTATAGTTTAAGTCAGGCTAAAGACAAATTAAGATGTCTCTATAACTTTCAGATACCAAATTGAATACAAAGCCTTGTGCTTAAGTTCAAGTATAGTATGTAACTAGAATAGAAATTCCTGAAAGAAGACCCAGATGTGGAGTAAGTATACTATATATAACTGTAATATTATAGAAGCTTTTAATTATAGTAATGGTATAAGTAAGTCTTTGAAAAGGAGCAGCACCAATATCTTTGTATCTTTAGTTTAGGTAATATAAACATCCCTACATCCAACTTGTAAGATACTTGCTTGAAAGGGTAGTCACTAAACTGCACAAATTAGTCCTTACCTGGATTGAAGATATGGATACTTGCTTGAAAGGGTAGTTACTAATAACCAAAGTTGAAGTAGTGAAAAAAGTAATAAATACATATATAATCTGTGATAAAAGATTAGCTTTACTAAAAGTAAAGGTATTTCTAATACAGCTAACTAAAGTTACTATAAAGTTAAAATATAAAAATAGGCTGACCTTCTTTGTATATATAAAGATATCAAATTGAGCAATAATCATATCTATATAGAAGTTTATAGACAGAAAAAGATTTAGAGACATATCAACAATAATGCAAACATCAACTTAAAGTAATAACCATATGCTAAAAATAGAAATCAAGAAAATATGATGTCACTGGAGTCAGAATAACTCTCTGAATACAATCAGAATTGTTCTGTGCTATGATATACCTTGGCTGGAAGTTTGTACTATATGGTTGTATATGATATCACTAAGGTTAGTTAAACTTTCTGGGTATAATCAGAATTGTCCTAAGTATAGACAATAGAAGTCCTGGTTCTTCATTATAGTAAAAAGTATAAACTAGAAATTTGGTAGTACTAAGTTGCTATATAATAAAAATAAATAAACCTGGGCATCTACTTAAAGAAAATGGTGGCAACAGAGGCTGGCTTGAGATACAGGTTAGTAGTACCTGGTCAGATAAGTGAAAAGGTTTATCTGACAATATAATACCAACTCTGACATGTGGAAACCTAACTAGATAGCAGTTTCTAACTTGAGATACGAATTTTTCTGTGGATTTTAGACAAATGTTGAAATACCTTAGGGAACTAATAACAGACACACCAAACTGGGAGATAATAAAGATCTACAACCTGAAAGTTACCAATTTGGGAGTTGTATAGTAACAAAAAGGTGAGAGATGTGTGGACATAAGTATAACTGGATATGATAATAGTAGAAAACTAGAAAATCTAGGTAGTAGATGAATGGGGCATATATGAACTGGTACAAAAGCTTTGTTTGGAAAAAGCTTCTAGGTCTGATGACCAGTTTCCTAGCACTGTTCAAAGTGGTTAGTGAGGGGCTGGTCATAAAGTCAGCCTAGTGCAGGTGAACCATATCTGGGCGCTCTATAGAGGTAGCCGGGTAAGTCGGGGCTTATGTTAGTGTACGCATATTTCTATAATTAGGTCATGCACAGTTAATATATGTAAATTGTCATTTAATATCTAATTAAGTCGCCGGCGAAATCGCCAAAGTTAAAAAAAAAAAAAATTTCATCTATTCTAATCTTATTTTAAATACTACTAATTCTAACTATTTAATAGATTATATAATCCTTGCTTTCAAAAATATTAATATAACTATTATCCATACTACCATTATATCTCTATTTTCTAGTAATCAAATCAATTATTTTAATGCAGATATATAGTATTGATAAAACAGAAACTAACTTTACTAACTTCTATTCTATTGAGTTTTTAAATAGTATTAATAAAAAATATTAGGAAGGCTATATGAATACCTTTAATTCAACTCTAACTCTAACCCAAAGTGGCTCTAATCCAACTCTAACCTAGCCCTTTAGACGTCCCCCAAATCTGGGGGTGGGTCCGTTAAAGAGGTTCGATCACGAGATTTCAACCAATCAAAATCATGAATTTTTGTTTACGGATCTGCCCGACGAAGCAAAAATAAAAAATATGGAAACCAATGTCAAAACCCACTTTGGTACATTACAGCATGAAGAAAAAATGTCGGGCAGATGATTTTACATATAAGAGTTTTCTAACCTTAACCCAAATCTAACCCTAACCTTAATGTAATTAAATTTTGCGATCGAACCTGGCTTTAACGGTTCCCCAAATTTGGCATAGTTTAACATAAAATCGGCATTATACATACCTGATACGTATGTGCGTACGTACGTACGTACGTACGTACATATTACGTAATCATTATTTAAATACCGATAGCTGATAAATCATAACGCTGCATTCTTAGTTTTTTATTAATTGTAATTGTCTTCAAAGGCGATTTGACAATGGCTGAAGAAGAAATAGGTACTTGCTTAAATATTCAATCAAATTCTGGTAATAAGCTCGATCAACTTTCAATAATAAGCTTAACGCAAAACTTTACTTTTCAGAATTACTTGAAAAAGTCGAACTTCGACTTGCGCTTGCTGAAACTGACGCTCAACTAGAAAAAATCCTTAATGCCTTTTTGAGTCCAATACTTCTGAAGTTGGCAAGCCCTCATGAAGTTGTACGGACCAAGGTTAGATAAAGAGTTGGATTCAAATATATCTAGATTATAATTCTAAGCTAGATTGATCACACATTTTAGGTTATGAGTGTATTAACTCATATAAATAAACGAACTCGGTCAAAAAGTGATATCAAACTTCCGTTGAATCCACTTCTTGATCTCGTTTGTACCGACAAAGTCACTCAATCAGCATTTGTTAAAAATTTTGCCATATTATATCTTGAAATGGCTTATTTCCGTTTAACAGAAGAGGTATAAAGTATTGATCAATGCATTATCTTTTATCCGATGAATTTATATTAAAATGCTTATTTTGAACATTTATAGGACAAAATTATTAATCTGCCGAATTTGATTAATAATATTGCCTCAAAACCTCCAGCACTAAAGCAACCTTTATTTCACATCATTCTTACGGTAAAACACATTTATTAATTTTTTAATTTGTTTATAGTTCTCACATGAATTTTGCGACTACAGGTCTTGCAAAAATTCAAGTCAAAACCTGCAGATTCTCCTTCATCATTAGATCCTTTTAATTTCGCAGAAAATCTAAATGATGCCAAGTTTTTGCTAGCATCATTTTTGGATGTTATTCTATATAATGTACCACAACAACCAAAATCACGACTTCAACAACCGACTGGTGGTGATTCTAGCTCTGGGTAATTATTATTATTATTTGTTACTAGCATAGCATACTATAGTTCTCATTAATGCTTACTTGAAGGCAGCAAGAAGTATCTCAAAATTTGGCACAACTTCCACCACCGGGTATGAGCATAAAAACCGTGAAATTTGTTACTAATGATGGAAAAATACAATGGGCTGAGAGGATGTCAGATCTCAAACTTATCAAGGTTTTAATTTGGTTTTTTTTTAAGCGCATCCCTATCAAAATTAAGGAAAATTTTGACAATCATTTTCTTCTAAATAGTTGGGGATTCTTAGATTCATCAATTCAACAGTAGTACTACCAGATTCATTGCCTGAAGAAATTCATTTGGCTAAATTTTTGATCCTTTTGGTAGCTTCTTGTGATTCTGTGAATGAAATTGTTGATGGAGGTGAAGATGGGATTAAGAAAATGAAAAGACCTGATGTGGAAAATATAGGAGTATGCAAGCATTATTATAAATTATTTAATATGTTATCTTCATGTTATATTTTTTACATTCTGCAAAATATAATTACTTTTAGGTGGTTAAAAGGTTATATTTTCTATATCAAGGCACTGTTAATCAGGGAGCTGCAGCATCAAGTATTTATTATTTATATTTTTTATTTAAGTTTATTTTTTTTTAAGCTCATATGCAAATGATTTCTTCTTTATATACTATACTTTATATATTTGTTTTTAAAGCTCAACAAGAAACATCACAACAACCAGCATCACCTGCCCTTAAACTTAAAATAATAGGTTATCTTTGTAGATCTAAGTTAGCAACAAATACATTTCCATCTATGTTACAAGTTGCATTTGATTGTTTGTATGGTATGTATAATGTTCACAGATTTAACTTACTATGAACTAATATTATGTTTTATTCATTTTAGGTCCCACAACTAATTCCAAATTGCAGAATCAAGGAATGCTATTTGTTCAATGGATTGCTAGAATGGTCAATATACATTTCATTTTAAGATTTAAATCAAATTAGAAATAAAGTATATAGACTAATGATGCATATATTATATGCGTATCTCAGGCTGAAACTGCATTATTAAAACAAATTGCACAAGTGCTTTTATCTGGTCTCTTAAAGATCATTAATGAAGGTGATATAATTAATTTGACTATGCCAATGTAGTCATATTATTGCTTTGATAGTATTTTTGTCTAAATTATATTGATTATAATAATTTCAAAATGTAGATAATGAAAATATCAAAGGAGATAAAGAGACTTTAATAGGATTTTCATATATATCTATTAGCTTGTTGGCCAAACGAGGTAGAAATGATTTTTCAGTATATGCGTACGTATTTTATTCATAGAATAAATGGGATGTTAACTTTTCATCCTTTTAAGTGCCAGATATCTTTCGCCAAGATTTTTCCATACTTAATAAGCTTTTCTCGGCTTTGTCCACAAAGAGTAATAATATTCGTGTATCAGTACAAGATGCATTGTCAAATATGGTTGAGGCATATCGAAACATTGATCAATGGGCGGATGTGAACACAATCAATATGATCGAAAACATTTTAGAGGAAAATATTAATAAGGTTCGTAATACGGGTCTGTAACTCAAATTATTACTCATTTTACAAATATTTAATTTTAATTGACAATCTACTAGTCAAATTTAAAATTTAAATCTGGATTTGTTTGAGTCTAATTTTTTTTTTTTTTGAGAATTCTACATTTATTAAGTTAAAAATTTATAACGTTATATCCTTTAGCCGTTACATCAAGCTCGATATTGTGCAGTAAAATATGCAGTTTCTCTTTTTCCATTCTCTCACATTCCTTCTCGATATATCTGTCTTCTCGCCTCAGCTGATGAAAAACTAGAAATTCGAGAAATGGCTTTACGTAATTTGGCATTTCCAGATCCAAGGGCTCCCAAGTTGTATCCAAATGAACCGGATGAAGAAATTAAAATTCCTTCTTTCTCTAAAATGGTTAATTTCATTGATGCAAAATCAACCCAACGTACTCAACATTTAATCGATGTCTTACAAACTAGCCAATCTACTGGTCAAATATATATTATGGGCTATCGCTCTGATGTATATATTAATATATTACGATTCTTGAGACATTTGATGATTATCAATGCAGACCCAACTGCCTTAATTGATGATTTATCCGATGAATTAGATGGAGAAATCAAGTTGTTTGACCCCAACACTCGAACATTAGCGAAAGCTTGGATAAAGGATCAATTATTGGCTGATCAAGAATCTCAAGACGCTATGGATATTGATGAGCCTCAAGGTGGATTACACATTTACCTTCGTTTAATCGAAAAGAGTTTGAAGACTGAAGGCATGATTGGCAAGTAAACTTATTCTATACCTTATGCTCATATACATTTATAAGTTTTAAATCTGACTTTATTTTAGATACATCACTGCAGTTCATGGCTTCTTCATGTCTTTTAGAACTTATTTCGTTGGGACCATCATCTTTGTCACGGTCTTATGAAAGCAAAATAAATTGGTTCAAGGTTATATATCATTATTCATCATTTTGATTTGAATTATTTAGTAAGAACTTTTAATTGATTGTTAATATATATATATGTGTATATATATGTATTTTTATTACTCGATTACAGTCATTCTTGAGCGCAATTAAATTAGGGGTACGTAACTCAATGGCACATTTATTAGGAATCATAAGTACAAGTGAATTGAAAAGTGATCCAGCGAGGATTTCATCTATTCAAGAATTGATTAAAGAGCTTATTGCTGTCGGCAAGGACCAGTCGAAACAGGTAAACGTTAATAATTTGACCATATTTTTTAACAATAAATTTAGCTAATTTGTTTATGATAAAGACCAAGGTTGAACACCATGATGGAAGTATTCTAGCATTGGGATACATAATTGGCCGTTTAACTTATCGATATCCTTCTACATATCAATCCATCGTACCAGCAAATCTTCTATCCGAAATAATGGAAATCATTTCCGAAGATTTAAATTCAACAAAGAATTCAAGCGTAATTAACGCATCTAAAGCATTAGGTGAAACTTGTCGCTATACATCACTTTTATTTGAGAATTATGATAAGGGTAAAGGAAAAGATGATGACTCGTCTTCATACAGCTACAATTTAACTAAGATCTTGGAGAAATTAATTACTATTGCGAAAACCACCAAAGATGTCAAGGTTTGTTACCTGTTAAAGATATTCGAAACATTCTAGAATTATTTATAATCGACATTTACAATAGACGCAGGAAACAGCTATCGCAGCTCTCGGTCATATTGCTTTGGGAAATTCGGAATATACCGAAAAAGTGTTATCTTTATTCTATTATTTATCTTCTACTCTTAACAAGCAAGTCGAAGTACATTTTACTGTAGGAGAAGCAATTACATATGTCACAACAGGATGGGAAAGTTTAGCGTTAAATCAATATTTAGATATTGCAGATTCTTCTCCTCCACCGATTTCTGTTGACTATTCAATTATCAATGGGATTTTAAACAAGATATTTTCCGATTTATTACCGTCTGGTAAGGCCGCCGTTAAAAAAGCCGTATGCGTGTGGATGCTATGCATGGTCAAGTTTTGTTCCAAGCATGAAATTATTAAGGTGAGGTGTTTAACGTTATTAAAGTTTCTTATAAATAATTGATATGATGTGTTGATAAAAATTTTGTATTTTAATCGTTAGACCTCTCTGCCAAAGATTCATTCTGCATTTTCCGTGCTTTTGGCTGATCGTGATGGTAACTTGATTAATTTGTTCAAGTTAGATATTATCATTTTCCAAGTAAAAAAAATAAGTGTAATCATAGTTATTATTTTAATATAGAATTTACTCAAGAAGTTGCCTCAAAGGGCATAGGACTTGTATATGAATTGGGTGATGAAAATATGAGAAAACAACTTGTCGATTCTCTTGTTGATATGCTTAGTGAAGGGAAGCGTCAGAAAGAGACTATTAATGCTGATACTCAACTTTTTGATTCAAATACTCTTGGTCAGACACCTGATGGGTCTGCCATTTCCACTTATCAATCTATCCTATCTCTTGCATCAGATATGAATCAACCAGAATTAGTATATAAATTCATGCAATTAGCTAGTTATAATGCTATGTGGCAATCACGGAAGGGTGCTGCATTTGGATTTTCGTTTATCATTGCAAAAGCAGAGAAGGAATTAGAACCTTATTTGAAAGATTTAATACCTCGATTATATCGATTTCAATATGATCCTAATCCCAAAGTAAATGATGCTATGAGTAGTATTTGGAAAGCTTTAGTAAAAGAACCTAAAAAAGCAATCGAAGAATACTTTGATGTAATTGTCAAAGATTTACTTAAGGGTCTTGGAGATCGTTTGTGGAGAACAAGAGAATCCAGGTGTATTTATGTATTTTAAATAACAAATTTTTTTGATATTTATCCGTGGGGGTATTACTAACATTTAAAATACTTTAGCGCCAATGCATTGGCAGATCTTTTGCAAGGTCAGTCAATTCAGGCACTTGAGCAATACCTACAAGATTTATGGACCATGTGCTTCAGGGTTTTGGATGATATTAAAGCAAGTATCACTTTAAGGCCATCACTATTTCTATAGTTCTAAGTAATAATTATGATTTATATGTCTACAATTTAAAGGAAAGTGTACGTGTTGCTGCTTTTAAAACATGTCGTGCGCTTACAAAGATTACTGTGAAATACTGTGATCCTGATAATGTATCCATTGATGATGGTCAAAAAATAATGAATATTATAATGCCATTTCTGTTGACGAAAGGCTTGTTATCTGATTCGGAAGATGTGCGCAAATTTTCTCTAAGAACCATCCTTAAGATCTGCAAATCAGCCAGGACTCTATTAAAGTCACATATCACAAATATTGTTGGAACTTTGTTAGAAGGATTATCTAGTATGGAGCCACAGGTTATGAGTATGTACATATTTATAGTGTTCTTATTGAAATATTTTGACAATGTTAAATACTATATACCACTATTATATTTGTTAGATTATCTTAGCTTCCATGTTGAAAAATATGATGTTACTCAAGAACAGGTAGGTAGTATTGTATAATATTGAAATTAATGAAAGTCTACAAGCAATTTATATTTTATTTGCATGATTAGCTTGAGAACTCTCGATTATCTGCTGCAAAAATGTCTCCAATGATGGAGGGTATAGAGTCATGTATTGATTATATTGATGAAAGTGTTATGGTAAATTTAACACCCAAGCTATTACAACTTGTTCGTAAAGGTGTCGGTCTGCCAACGAAGGTGATCTAAATAATTTTAATATTGCTTAACTCTTTTGCTCATGCAATATTCTTTTTCTTAGCGTATATTTTAATTTCAGGCTGGTTGTGCAAGATTCTTGGTATCATTGTGTTTCAAAAAAGCATCAATATTAAAACCACACGCAGATACTATAATGAAAGCCTTAAGTGGTGCTATTCTTGATACGTCACCTGCAGTCAGAAAGTCATACGCCGTTGCTGTTGGATATGTTGCCCATTTATCATCGGATAATACTTTAATTAGATTAATTGGACATTTAAAGAAAGTTTACTGCGAAAATAATGGTATGAAAAGTTAATCCATTTCTAATTATATAATTAGATTGATTTTGATGTTTTTTTTTTTTTGATCCTCCAATTATAGAACAGGAAATACGTTCTATTTCAGGTATAACTGCTCTGGAGATTTCTAGACATGCGTCGGACGAGCTAAAGCGGATATATGTGGAAATATTACCACTTGCTTATTATGGCTTACATGATTCCGATACAGGAATTAAGAATGTCTGGAATGAAGTATGGGACGAGAATACTGCTGGTACAATAAACTCATAATAAATAATAATAAATGGTTGATTATTTTGTAATTCATGCATCTTTTTTGTATTTTGTATTAATTTAGGCTCTACTAGTGCCATTAAATTGTATCTTAAAGAATTAATAGATCTTTTATCGACTTTGTTGGAATCACCTTCATGGCAAACTAAACGCCAAGCTGCGGCGACAATTGCAGATGTTGCTAAAATAATAGGTAGTATAAGAATATTTTAAAAAGTTTTAAAATTATAATATTTCCTGATGTGAATTTTTTTAATGCCAATTTTAGAAAAAAGCTTATTGCCTTATATGACGCAAGTTATTCCATTGTTAATGAATGGTTTATCGGGAAGGACATGGGTCGGAAAAGAGGCACTTGTTGAAGCACTTGTAACAGCTTCTATTTCGTGTAAAGAATATTTTGATGATGATAATACACGCGTACAATTGAATGATATTTCAAAAGTGAGAGAATTTTGTTAATTTATTTTTCAATTGAAATTTTTTAGAACTAAAATATTGCATTTTTTACATGTTCATATAAGATCCTCGTACGTGAAAGCAAAAAAACAAACAAACTATATAAACGCCATTGTATTGACAATCTAGGAAGATTTGCAGATTCTTATATTGATATCTTGGATCTTTACACAGATGTAAAAGAGTTTTTAATTGAATTGGCAACTGGTGAACAAGATCCTAATGAAATGGACGAAGATGACGCCAATCAACAACCATTATTCTTCTTAGTTAAAGCAAGTGCGATGAAATGTCTTGGTTTAGTATGGCCTAGACAAAAGGAAATTCAAGGTATGTATAAAATGAATTGAACACTAATATACCTCAAATAATGTTAACGAATTGGTATGTACATATATGTCTGTATAGCATTGCATTCAAAAGAACTTGGTCTCGTATTTGCCGCTTCTTTGGAATCAAGTAAAAATATATGGAATGTTCGTCTTGGTGTTCTTGCATCTCTCGATAAATATATTGATAAATTAGATCTTACAGAGAATGATAAAACATTGGTATTGGATGAAGGAACTTTGCTTTCTATCTTCAACGGATTAAAGAACGGACTGCAAGATGCAAAATACGTTGCAATCCGTACGGCAAGTTTAGAAAGTTTCAAAAAAGTTAGTGAGAAAGTTAAAGGTGAGAAAATATTTCTTTTTATGCGCAGTTCATGTCAAACACCAAGTAATTTAATTCTTTCTCTTCAACAGATACACATTTATCTTTGCCTGCAGTTAGAAACCAGTGTTTAGATATTATTAAGATTGCAGAAAGCGACCCTGTGCCCGGCATTTCTGAGTTAGCTAAAGATATACACAGAACTTTATAAAATCATTATAGAAACTTGTATTGAAAAGTTTAATTTTAAATTTTTTACATTTTCATAGACTAGCCAATAAAATTAGAAGAATAGGTGTAACATGAAACCAAATTAGGGTTAGAATTAGTATTAGACAAAGTATTGTCTATATGTAGTAAATTTTATGATTTGGATTTTGAATTAAAATTTTTTAGTTTATTGAATATATGCACTACCATTTAATTTAAAATAAATGATTGCATCGCAAATTTGCTAAAATGATTTTTAAAAAATATTTTCAAAATTTATTTACAGAAAGAGCCTTTCAACAGATCTTTACTACAATGTGAAACTGGTTTTATAAATCTACTAGTAAAATGAAGCTACATTTATTAATTTGCTGTTTTTATTAATGCTAAGATGACCTCCTGGTCATATTTCTTATATTTAATTATATGTTGCTTTTACAGTATGGTATACACTATATATATACATATTCGGAGAGTATAACTAGTTACATGTACAACTTTTGGCTGTCTATTTAAGTAGTTCACATATAGATAGTATACTATAGGCTTTATACTAGATACTATATCTATAACTCAACTAAGGGGTTATTTATTTAAATCTTCTACACTTATATACATTACTTTTCTAAGTGAGAGTACTAGTACTCTTTATTTTTAGATACCAGCTTAGAACTTTAAAGCAAGCCCTATAGAAAGCCCTTTATTCTTAAGGTAAACTTGTTAGAGCCTTTTGTATTCACAATCTAGCTAATCTAAACTTTAGTAACTTACACTAAATTTAACAACAAGTACTTACAGCTTTTTACTTTTATTACTATTACTTACTTCTATCTATGTAAAGTTTATCCAAATCTCAGTATATACTTTACAAACTATTAACTCTACTTTTGGCATGTCTAATAGCATTTTAAACTTCTAATTCAGATAGCTTGAGATGAATTATTAGGCATCTCTAATATTCTAATTAACCCTTTTTTTCAGTTTGTTTGGCAGCCTGGTTGGTGTAGTACCTTGCCAAATATTTAGCTTTTATTCAATTTACTACTAGTGCTTGATTTCTGTTAATAATTTTTATTAAAATTTATACTATATATTTATTCAAAACTTGCCAAGCAGGTTTTTGTATATCCTAAACTCTCAGATTTATTTAGCTGCTTTACTTAGATTTTATATAACTCATATATTATACTATTGTTTTATAACCTTGCAATACAAGTTGATATGATCAAAGTTACAGGTTCTAACCTATTAAATTATATACAGTCTGCTATAACACATTCTGTAAATTTAAACTTTATTATTAGCAGAATTTAAACTCTTGTTTTGCTGCTTGAGAGTGACAATCTATTAACTATATTAGATTATCACACTCTGTTATTAATTTGCTATAACTTAATAACAATATAGAATTATAATTTGTAAAGACTAGAACTTGTAATTTAATAAATATTATTAAATACAGTTTAAATTTAATTGTCCAAAGCGTAGCGACGGACGCTCAATTTTTACACATTAAGTGATACAAAAGTTACGTTTTTGATGCGTTTCGATCATGAAAAATTCTTTTTTGATGCATCAACATAATTAACATAAACAAATATTTCAATATCGTAATTTGGAAATTTTTTGTCTGTCCGCACGCATGACGCGTGATTGCATAACTGTTTTGAACAACAAAACTGATAAATATGGTAAATACGGTAATACAGACTCATGGTAAGTTATTCATATGATTGGCTAGTTTAAATTAATTGTCCGGATAACTTATTTATACACTTTAGAGTACTTTTTAAGAACATAACAGTTTACTAACAAAATTACTTCAAAGCTATTTATAATGCTCCGGACTTATATCAGTTCCCGATTCCTAGTATATTTAAATTCATAGATGTAGGATGTGGTGACTTAGTGTAGTTGGTAAGTTGTAGCACTCCCAAGCGGCAGGACAAGAGTTCGAATCCCACTGGCAATGAAATTCGAATTTGCAGAAATGTGTAACAGTAAAACTGTATGACATATCGATTGAGTAAGCACCTGTGACTTTGGTATTACCAACTCGTATTGGGAGGTTGTGAAACATAGTGTGACGCATAAGTTACACAAAACCCAAGTGAAGCAGCCAAATAAATTCAAGGGATCAGGGAATATGAAAGCCGCTTGGGAAGTCCCAAGTAGAAAGGTAGCACAGATCTTTGATGGCATTATGCAAATGATTATCATCTGGGAACCAAACACTGAAGACAAACTAAACAAGGATCGAGTATTTGGCAAGCACTACACCAACCAGGCCACTGGATCAGCCAGAGAAAAAAGGATTCATTCAGAATACCAGATGACGCCTACTAGTCCCTCCTGGGCCATTTGGATTGAAAGTTTGGGGCACCAACAGTTGGCATTAAAGTATTGTTGATAGTCCGTAAAGTGGGTGCTAGAGTTTGGATGAACTTTGCAAGGGCACAGAGTAGGTAATGGTAGCAGAGGTAAAAAGCCGCAAGTACTTGGCCGTGGCCTAGGCATAAGTTACTGAAAATCTAGGTGATACATATGTGGGATATGGACCGCTCTAGTAGGTTTATCACGAGGATAAAGTAGTCCTAAGGGGCCTTAGCGGCAGTTTCCTCTTTGGGGAGAATATCCTGACAGCACTGTTGATCAGAGGATTTAATTGGGTAACTCAAGTAATTGTGGGTTACAGGTACAAAATCTAGTGTAGTTCATATGGGTTACATATGCATAAATAGATAACCAAAAGTTGTATATATGGCTAGTATGTATCCTCATTAATGTAACAAAGTCAGAAGTAGCCCTGTGGCTGCTCTGACATTTGATCCAAAGTTTAATAAAACGTGCCAGACCTCAAAGTGGTCACCTTAACATTAAAAAAAAAAAAATTCATAGATGTTTTAAGAAATTGTATAAATTTAAATAAAATATATTTTAAATAACTATATAGGCAGTTGTAAAGAGGATATAACAACTTAGTATAGTTAGTAAGTTGTTATACTCTCAAGTAACAAGACAAAAGTTTGAATTTTATTGGTAATAAAGTTTGAATTTTTAGAATGCATTATAGAAGACTATATTCTATTAAGTCTGTATTTTGTAATATGTTTATACTAGCTTGTATTGAAAGATTTTAAAACAATAGTATAATATATAAGTTATATAAAATCTAAGTAAAGAAGTTGTATAAACTGATAAATTAAAGGATACAAAAGCCTACTTGATAAGATCTGAATAGAAAGGTAATACAAATCTTTGACAATATTATATAAAGAATTATTATCTAAGAAACTAAAAAACTAAATAAGACTAAAAAAGGTTGCAAGTACTTGTCCTTGGCTCATCATAAGTTATTAAAGTATCGATTAGCTAGATTATAAGTATGAAAACTCTAATAATAATGCCTTGAGGATAAATTAGTTTAATTCAAAACTTCTTGACTAACAAATATAACAGAAATATATTAGTAATAAAAGCAGTATTATATTATAAAGAGTTTAAATAGATAATATTTGTAGTTGAGTTGTAAGTATCCCTTAAATTGTAATAGAACACAGGCAAATTTGCCTGCGTTTTTGCACTTTTTTAGCTCTGATTTACTTTTATAAAAAATTAAAATAATTAAATAAAA